CCTTTTAACACTCAAGTAAGCTGACCACATGTTCCAGATTTTCTGGGATAGCCTCAGCTTAAAATCTTCTGCTTATTAAACCCATAAAAAATAGCCTGATTTCCCATTTTTGGCCTGAAAGTACATCACTGGATGCTTCCAGATCTTTCTCTAACTTGTAGAAGGAAGTTTGACTCCACCTCTCCCCATGGGCAAGCCCTCTCAACCTCCCTGAGCCACAGGCACCACGGCTACAAAATGGAAATAGAGTATCCAGCTTCTTACAAGGATCTGATGGGCTGATGTTTGTAAAGTATTTTCATAAAAACCAATCAACATCAGATATTACTATTGTGTGGTCTGTTTACAAGTTCAAGGATTCAGCTATGGGGACCTTAAATTCCTTCACTTTAAAGTCTTCTCATGTTCCTTGGGGTCACTGGGCCCATCTGCAGTTCTTTGGAGGTGATGCAACTCAGTTTTCCTGGAAACCATGAGTGTTCCTCGATTTATCAGAGGCATCTGGGACATAGAGAAGGAGCCATGGTGGGAAAGAGGGTGGGGAGTTAAGAACATGAGTTTGGAGTGAGGAAGTTCATATCCCAGCCTTGGCTTTAATACATGGCTGAGCCTCTTATCCTCTTTGACAGGGTTGGTAGTAGGAGAAGATGAGTGTGGCACCTGGGGTGAAAAATTTAAGGGGACCCTCACTCTCATGGTCATGGAGCTATGTGAGGATCATTGCCTGCAGGTCGCTGAGAGTGAGCACCTCCTTAAATTTTGCATCTTGGTTCCCTCACTTGTCTCTCTCTAGTCCCAGCCCTGATTTTTTACCCAATTTTTCTGGAATGATAATAACAACCTTGAAGAGTTGGCATTAAGGATAGACATGAGGTATTTAAAGAGCCTTCTTTGTGGTAGGTGCTGGGTGAATGGCTACCTTTTATTCGGTCAATATGACAACTATTATTTCTTAAGTAACTACAATGTGCTGGCCTTAGGTTGAGATTTTTGAGGTAGCAGAAAATAATTCTAAAAAAGAGGAAAGGAAAAGAAAGCAGCATTAACCTTCACATCTAGTTCAGAATTTTTCTCCATCTTTGCAGTGACTGTCATAAAATGCAAAAGAAAATATATCTACAAACTATCTTAATAGTTTTCTTAATAGAAAACAAATATAAAGTTATATCTGTTCCAGAACATTTTCTTTAGCCCAAGAATATTTGGGAATTTTTTTTATTATAAACTTATTTTAAAAAATGCAAACTACTATGCCATCTATATAAACTTATTTTTAAAAATAATGTTTACAGAGTCTGTGGTGTGCTGTAATGAAACCTGTTTTAAATGTCTTGGTCAAAAAAAGTTTTATTTGCTTTCCATTCATATAACATCAAGAAATAAAGGATGTTCAAGGGTAAGGATATATAAATATACCAAATTGTTGTAGTTGATCTAATTTCCTGGAACTCTGGACAAATATGCAACCAAGAGGGATCGTTGGAAGGGCCTATGGTCAATGTTTGGATGCTTAATGCCACTTGCTATGTGATGTAAATCATCTGAGTTCATATAAAAGGATTAACCTACATAAGAGTGGCACTGTCAGTTAGTTGCAATCACCAGCCAGGAAAATAGCAATCATAGGAGACAGACCGTGAACAACCACCAAACAACCTTGACCTAGAAAAATCTGTCTTCATATGGCTGAACACTGTGTATTCAGTGAAAATATTTTTTAATGTAGTAACCACTACACCACTGAAAACAGTTTAAATAAAAACCCTTTTGTAAAGCAAGCAATTCCTCCCATTTATCTTTGGGGAAGTAGCAGAATCTCTGCAGGGTGGTTTTCTCTGCGGGGATGGATGCAACATCATTTGAGGCCAAAAGGGGCTTTTGTGGGTGGTACCTACCGCAGGCGATGGCGAGGAGGTGCGTCTGCCAGGTGATGACGTAGAACATGCCTCCCACGGCTATGCACGCGAGGGTGCTGTTGAAGCCGCACAGGCCGAAGTAGATGGAGTCAAAGGGCGTTGCGAGAGTGAGCGCTGCAAGAGAGGCCAGGTGTCTCTGATAAGTTTGGGGTCTCATGGGGCTCACCTGCCCACTCTGAAATCTACCACAGTCCTCTGAGCCCAGAACCGGTTATCCTCTTAAGTATTTATATTTAAAAAAAGGACTTCTAATTGTATTCAGTGAAAAAGCATGTAAAGGAAACAAATGACCATAGAGTCACATGAATGCTACTTGTTAAACTGGTAGGGTTGAAAAGACCCTTTGAGTAAGGATGCTGAAGTCTGATGTAAGCAATCCAGAGAATGTCCTTCCCCTGCCAGGAAAGGACCTCTCCTTCATTTGTATCTTAATATTCTCTCATGGAGAACAAATCTTTTTTACTGTTATTGCAGGTAAGGTTTAAAATATAAGTATGCCTGGAAGAAACCTCTCCCGAAGTTTAAATTTATACTAAGGTGTAAATGACTAACACCAAAGCCTTTCTTGACAGCAGCTTTTGCTCAAGGGAACATGAGGGTACTAGCACCAAAAGTGGACAAACATGATATAATGGAAGGAGAGAATCAGCAGGTGAGACATGTCACCATTTTCTGTGGAGCTGGCCCCAGACTTGAACATCTTTACAGCCCATTAACAAGGGGAAGGGATGACACAGACCTGCTAACATCCCCGTGGTGGATCCAATTGCTGCATGCAAGCAGACAAGAGGTGAAGAAACGAACAGAGCTACAAGGAAAATTCCTCCAGTCCAGGGGTTATCGCAGCCATACACTTGGCCAATTCCAACAGGGATGGCTCTCAAAAGCTGTAGGTACGAGAGATCACATGCTTATTTTGGAGGCAAAAGAGAGAACTTGAGCCTTGGATGCAAAAAAAATTCGGCACTAAACCCTCCACGCTAACATTTTCCAACAAGTTTCCAAGATATTCCTATCCAAATAGGTTCACTGTAGAAGGAACAGAGGCTATATTATCTTAATCTTGAGTTCTTACACCAAGGGGTTGGGATGCTGAGTTTTCTTTAGAAACATGAGTATAAGGCATTCATCCCCCAGTGAAGAGAAACTGAAAACTTTTCAAATTAGGGTATTATTCATTAAAAAAGTAATATATGTCTGATCAAAGTTGGGGTTTAAAAAGCTTCTTGTAATTTTTTTTTAAAGCTAAAAAGATGATGATAAGGCTAAATATTACACTGAGAAATGGTTCTTTGTGCTTCCTTGAATGTGCTGGGGGTGTGGTCACTTTAGACCTGTCTGGGTGAGCAGTTGGGCTAGTATCCACAGAAGGGGCCCCGAGAAGCTGGTATTGTCCTGCATCTGCTCTTTGGCTTGGTAAACCCCAGGGCACCTGCTTATCTCAGTCCTCCATGTATCTCGGGGGCCAGTGTGTGAATGAAAAAGCATTTGGAGAAGACTGAAGCCTTGTGGGCACTTGCACATGGGCCCTGGAGTTTGGGAAAAGGATCCTGGGGATGAGGGCTTCCCCAGCTACTAGGACAGGGTCCTGTGTTTTGGAGAGTTTGGCCAAAGGCCCTTGAGGTAGGGAAGGGCTTAAGGGAGGAGGCTCTGGGCCACGTTGGGATGCGCTGGAGTTGGTCTCACCCCTTGGGCAGTGAGCTGAGAAGAAATGGAGTCCTGGGGCGACTTTGTGTACATGTTATGGCCAGGTGGTTCTTCTCTCAGCTCCTAGTGCTCTTGGAAGACTCTGTTCTGCAGAGTGTCAGAGAAAGGAGATCCTGTAATTCAGGGGCCTTGGGCCAAACTTTCAAACCACAGTGGGAGTGTTTGGAGACAACAGGATGGGCCTAGCAGGTAACCATTTGGTTCAGTCTCCCATTACCCCAGGAAAGAGAACAGAGTGGAGGCTCTGTCCTTGCCACGCAGGGGAAAGGGGAGAGGCGAGAGAGGTTTATACAGAGGCAGTGGTGGGCAGGGCTACGCAGTTTTGTCCCTAACACCCTCCAGGGGGCCTCTCTAGTGGCCAAAGAACAGAGGAACCCACAGGGACTAAAAATTGTTGGGAGTTTTAGACCCTCTCTGTGATAATCACCACTTATTTCCCAGAAACTCAAGGCTGTAATTATAATTGTTTAAAAAATATGAATTATATCATAATCCATTCAATTGGGCAGAAATTTCTTTTTTCTTCCCCCTCTCCACCTATTGGAGAGCACCCCAAATTGAATTTGTATTTCCTGGAACTTTGGGGTTCTAAAGTGTTTGTATAGGATTCTGAAGTTAGTTTTTCCATTTCTATAAAATTCTGAAATATCTTTTCAATTGAAAATGCGGCATGGAGAATGCAAAATATATTAAACTAGCATTTTCTAACACCATCTCCTCATAGCACATCAATGAGAGCAATTTTACCTCCAAAAGATATCGATTGGGTAGAATCCTGAATGAGAAGACTAACGCACTGAACTGCCAACACAGCACCGTTTTTCGCTGCTGGCCCGCAAAGGTGCACACACACACACACACAATTAGCGAGGATGGGGCTAACACAAGCATTTCTCTTCCTAAATAATGGTGCTCCTTAGTGCAAATGCAGGGCTCTTTCCACTATATTATGCTGTTGTGACAATGGAACACGGAGAGAAATTTATTCTGAAAGAAAGTTCCTTCAGCAATCCCAAGTGGCATTGTGGTTAGGCAAAAAATTGCTAATAACGAAGTTTCAGAGTGAGCCCCAGACTGTGGGGCCCTGCTCTAGTGGGACAGAAGCAGCAGGGCTTCAGAGAACATGTGCCCGGTGAGATAAAGAGGCTGCGGGCACATGCTGACTTAATGCTTTTAGTGTAGCTTCTTATTAATTATCTCGGAAGACTCCCAGTGGTAAGCATTATAGAGAGAATACTTGTGCGAAAACAACAACAAGAAAAACTTTAAAAGCTCTGTTATATATGTTCCTTAATGCGGGAGCTCCTGTGCTTTGCAATTTGAGCAAACCTCAGAGCAAATGGATTAAACTCTGGAGGTTGGAACAGTGACTTCTGAAGCCAATAGAGGGAGCATGATGTGCACGTCTTTCATGATTTGGTGTGATTAAATGAAAGACAATACACAGCATGCGCTGCATTAAAACTAGAGTAAAGCATTAAAAACCTTTTTTTTAAAAAAGGGGAAAACAACAGCAACCCAGGCCTCAAGTCAGGAGGCTGGAGTTCTAGTCTTGACTTTGCTCTTCACTAATTCACTGTGTAACCTGGGGAGAATCTCTGATCTGCCCTCAGTTTCTTCCTGAGCCAGTCTCTTCTGCGTGGGACCAGAAACAGCCCTTGTAGCTCTTAGAAAGAGGAAAGGACGGTAGCTCATGAGATATGCATGTAGAATGCCTTGTACTGTATAGTTGTTAATAATTATTAATCACAGATGTTTCTGATGTGCAAAATAAGTAAATGCCACTTTAAGACAGGTTTGGACAGACACTACCCCTCCTCCTCCCGTGGTACCTACCAAGGGCACTTGGACCTCTGACCAGGTGATGTTGGGCACGGAGGATGCAGGCTGCAGCAGTGTCGTGGGGAAGAAGAGATTGTAGTGGCCTGTGGCCGCTAGGTACAGGGTCACAGCGATGTTGAAGGGCAGTGTGAAGACTGGGAGGTCCCACTTGCTGAAGACAGTCCCCAGGGCACTGGAGAGGATGGGGCTGATGGCAGAAGCACAGGAGATGCTGATCAGAAAGTGCTGCCTGGCCCTGACACTAGACTGGGAAGCGGTGGGGGGCTCCCTGCACCTTTTTGGAGACAGCAGCCACTGGGCATCCTCCTTGAGCCTGACTACCCTGAGCAGGTCTTTCCCTGGACCGCCTCCTTATACCAGGGCAGGATGCCCAGACTCAGCTTCAGAGGGAGGGCTTTCTGGGACACGTTTTAAGGTAGGGAGTCTCAGAACTTTCTTGATGAGTCACATAGCTCCATCCCCATGCATGAGGAGAGAGGACAGGTTAGGGGAGCAGAGGGGAGGGAATCACTTTCATTCATTTACCAAATGTTTTTTGACTGACCATGCACACTAGCCTCATGGCTTGGTGCCCTGCATTTTCTGCACGTGAAGGAGGGAATGGGGCCTGGCATCCTGTGGACTCTGCCCTGTGGCTGGGCCTTCAGCCTACCCTAAGAAGTTGTCTTGGTCTGGTCAGGGGTCTCAAGGATAAAGAAAAGCCAGGGGGGCAGGAGGAATGAGATTTCCAGAAACAGTTTCTTGCTCTGTGTTCTGGCAAGATGAGAACAAAAACCCCTTTAGATATTAAAAAAAGACGAGTAAATGATGGTGGCTAATGAGATGCTGTATATAGAAGACCTAGCATGGTGCTGTCACTGTATAACACTAGTAATTACTTCCAGTGGATGTTTCTGATGCTCACATATTCATAAAAGCTGCTTTAAAATCACGTTTAGACAGGCAGTCACGGGGTTCAGATAAGAAGGTTGACGGTCCTGGATCTGAGCCCACAACCTCAGAAGCAAACTTACCAAGACATGCACATAACGATGATGGGGAGCAGAAGCCACCAGTAATAGTCACCTTTGTCTGAGAACACGGCCATCAGCAGCCCCACCAGCACCCCGTTGTAGCCGTGAAGTCCTGCCGCGATGGCTGACCTGGCGGGAGAGGGGGACGGCGGGTCGAGTGAGGCTTCTCCATGGCCTTTTAAATTTTCCCTCTGACTCAGATTTTTCTCACCTGGGTCTGATGACACACACCTTCAAACAGACTGCATTTCTGGGACTGGGGAGGGAAACCCTTCCTATTTCTCTAGACAATGAGTCACTATGAACAGATAATCAGGGAACAGTCATTTTTAGTTGTCAGTGTCCTTATTTTGAAGTGTGTCTGAGCTGGAAGTGGGAAGGGGTAGAATGGTCCCATCAGGGATCAACCTCTTGGCCTCATGCTGGGGTCCTGGGCCTCCGGGGACTCACCTGTCCTGGCTGAGGATGAGCGCTGTCAAGGTGGACACCATGGTGCCCAGGCAGCCTGAGATGGCCCACCAGGGGTTCTGGATGAAGAGGCCGAGGATGATGAGGATACCACTGAGGGGGTAGTTCACAAACATCACCTGAGACATGCCCCGGAAGACCCAGTCGAGGAACTGGAACACTGGGGATTTGTCTGAAATGGGACCAGGGCAGGAAATCAGCAAATGCTGAGTGTGGGATGGCCCTGGGCAAGACAGCCACCTGCTGTCACATGCCACAGAAGGTAAACAAAACCCAAGAGAGCATTTGATTGCCCAGAAAACTTGAGACCATTGCCAGCCAGGTGTTGTCTTCAGGTTGTTTTTGTAGCAGTGGGATTAGGTACCCTGAGCTATCTGTGCCCCCTTGATAGTGGCATAAATTTTCAAGAAAAGTCTCTTGCTGCACAGAGGGCATTAAACCCATGACCCGACCTCTGGGAAGATTGCTAAAGAGAACCTACTGGCCTAGTAGACACAGTTCTCCCATGAACTATCCGGAGATCATTTTTCTAGAATGCTGGCTCTAGAATCCCAGTGCTAAAAATTCCCATCTGCACTGTTCAGATGGGATATTGAGAGAGCAGGACTGCTGTGTTCAAAAATGAGAGCTCACACCTTACATGTATTGGTATTTATATCCCAAGAGATTGAATGTCTGTCATAACAGCAAAACTCCTAGCTTCTCTGAGAGACTGCAGAAACGAGACTCAGACTAGTCTATAGGGAACCCCCATGGCAATGTGTTTCCTGGGGACAGCTGGAGATGACATTTGCAGGGTTGGGGCTGCCATCATGGTCCTTTACCTTTAAGCCCCTCTCCACACTCCTTCATCTCTCCCGTGATGTAGCTGAGGGCTTTGCTGAGGCTTTTCCCAGCAGCAACCATGGAACTCTGAATCCGGGCAGTCCTGGAAGTGTTTGGTTCCACCGTTATCTCGGAGCTCTCCTGCATGGTGTCCAGATCCTGCCCAGGGACGAGAGATGGGCAAGAATGTCCGACGTGCTGTGGCTCACACTTAGAAGTGACACTGTGGTCACTTGGGGACCAAACTGAGATTTTTATTTGGTATTTAGTTAAATTACTACTTAATCATCTCCCTGTTTCTGTAGATTAAAAATTGTTTTTTGTTTTGTTTGACATGTTACCTCACTTAATATGTGCAGCGACCATGAAGTACAATGAAAGGACATCTTTATGCTCACTCTGTGGATAAGGACTCAGGCATGGGAAGTTCTCATTTGCCAGGGTCAAGATCAAAGGGTAGAATTGAAATTTAACCACAGAGCTTTAGGTTGTTTTTTTTTTAAAAAAAATTACTACTTTCACTCTACTACACTATTTCTAGAAGCAATTGTTTTCCCCCAGCATGTCTGACCACGAAGTACAATGAAAGGACATCTTTATGCTCACTCTGTGGATAAGGACTCAGGCATGGGAAGTTCTCATTTGCCAAGGTCAACATCAAAGGGTAGAATTGAAATTTAACCACAGAGCTTTAGGTTGTTTTTTTTTTTTTTTTTTAAAATTACTACTTTCACTCTACTACACTATTTCTAGAAGCAATTGTTTTCCCCCAGCATGTCTAGTCTTTAAAATTCAATGTTTATAAACATAAAGTTATCAAATTGAACATGTAAAGATTCTGTTTTTGAAAATTGGCACCAGCTTATTTCCTAAATGCTTGAAATCTGGATTTAGAGGAAGACTGATAATAAATAATTCAAATAAAATAAATATGAAAGTTTACAAAGTGGACTATGAAAAATAGACATTTTTATCCTTGGCAATTACATTTCTGAAAATATGAATTCCAGAAAATTTGTCTAAATCAGAGAACATCTTTTACAGATCTTAGCTCCCTAATCTGCTGTAGGCTTTGTGACTGCAGGGTGCTGTCCTTGACATGGACACTCAAAACTCACCAGCAGCTCGACCGTCGGCTTCTGGTATCGATAGGGAAATGGGTTCTTGGTTTGTCTCTCCTGATATTCGCCTTTTCCAAACACTGGAATTGGAAAGAAAGAGCACCATCAGTCAGAATGACTCCATTCTGGCACCTGAGCAGTTAATTTCTGGCAAGGTTAGAGTTAGAATATTAAGTATTTCTTATTCTGCTTGAGGAAGCACAGAACCATGGTTTTTTGCAGCTGGAAAATTCCCTTTTTCTTTTACCGGTCACGGACCCATTTGGACCATCTTGGGGAAAAATGTACACCTTCATGTAAACAGGACATTTTACAAGGAATTTATGGAGTTCAGAGACTACACTGACTTTTACTGAGAAGCCCTGATTTAGCTAAATCCCTGTATTTTTTAGATGAGTAAATAGCATCCCGGAGAGACAGTGGCTTGCTCATGATCCCTGAATCCAGGGCTCTTTCTCCTGTACCACGTGGAGAACTCATAGATGTACAAAAAAAGGAACTTGGTTGTGGTTGAAGACCTTCGCTCCTGCCTCATAAAGTATTAAGCTGCCTGAGCCATGCAAGATCTATGTTTGAATTTGGCTATGACTCTCTCCAGCTGCATGAGCTCAGGCTGTATTCTCGGTCTTTCATTCTTTTTTTTTTTAAAGGTGACCAGTAGGAGATCTTAACCCTTGACTTGGTGTTGTCAGCACCACGCTCTCCCAAGTGAGCCATGGGCGGCCCTTTTCTTGTTGTTGATGTTTATCTCTGAATTTTAGGCATTTCAGTAGCAACTGCTGGTTGGATTAGGACAAGTGATATCCACGTAGTCACTTGAAATAGCTTTTGGTATGTTCTTGTCATTCTAGAAAACTCTTGTAATGCGTCTCTAAACATATTTTCATTATTATGGATCATTTATTTTTAAAGATGACCAATTTCATAGGGTTTTATGCATCCTTTGAAAGACGTTTCGGTCCTGATGCTCTGGCTCCCTCCCGTGGTCAAGTATGAGAATGGCAGGCTGGGCCCTGACTGCCCTGTATTTTCAGACTGAATGGGCTGTTCTCATTCTGCATTCATGAGTTTTGGGGGTGTCAAAGCACTAGAAGGGATGCATCAAAGGCACTGTGTTCCCACTTTTGAAGGACAAGGGACTGAAAATACCAATGTGGTGGGGAAGCTACTCCATGTAGGAGAAACATTTATTTTGGAAGCCTTGAAAGGAAGAGTAGGAAGAGAGATGATTTCTCTGAACTAGGAGGTCAGCGTAGGTGACATTCACGCTGACCCGCTGCTTCTGTCTGAAGCTCCCCTCTGCCTGCCAGGGCCTTGGCAATTCTGGCTTATTTCCACCTTCCAGACCCCTTTGCATGGAGCTCTCTACTCTGTCCTTCCCCCACCCCAGTCCCCAGCCACTCTCATGAAGAAGACGTTAGAAGGAAGGTTGTAAACCTTTTCAGGCAAACCATCCTCTTTTCCATGCCATGCCTTGGGTCCCCTGTCAAAGATGAGCTCCTGGGCTAGAGGGGCTCTTGAGATATACTCAGTGCACTCTTCATCTTGTGTGTTTTCCTGTAACCTCTCCAGGCCCATTTCTCTGGGTTGGCTGACTTTTGATATGAAATGATGAGAGTTAGGTGAATTGGAGGAAGAAAGTCACTAATGCATCTTCTGGGAAGCACGTGATGTTGTAAAAAGGACACTGATCTGGGGGTCAGTCTTATCCCCTGCGTTGCCCCTAGCCCGCTGTATGACTCTGGACAATTCTGCTCCTCTCTCTGGGAGTTGGGGTGGAATGAAATTGCCCCTGTATCCTGGCTGTTCATAAGGCTGCTCCAACCTTGCAGCTGGCTGGGGAGGTCTCCCAGATTCCTCACTGTTTGCCACATCATGTTTTCAGCTTCCAAGTCCAAATTTTTGTCTTCCCTACCTATTCAGCTTTAGCTGCCCTCTGGACCCCTCTACCCCTCTTCAGCCTCTGGGAAGCCCCTCCCCACCATGGTTCTCTACCTGTTCCCATGGCCTTGGCATCCCCACCATTGCCAAAGGTGAGAATTTTTTTTATCTCTAGCCTCCTAGACCAGTGGTTTTTGATTTGGTGGCGTATTAGAATTTCACGAGAGCTTCAAAAGGTACTGATGCTCACCCAGGATGCTCCCAGATTAATTAAATTGGAGTCTCTGGGTATGGGATGCAGGTGATTCCAATGCGCAGCCCAGTTGATCTAGCCCCTGGCCTAGATCTACAGTAGGCACCTGCCTGTCCCGCTGCCTGTCCTGGCTCCAGTCTCTCTCCCACCTCAGGGGCGTCCAGGCACTGGGAACTATGGCTTTGGTCAGAGGTCAGGTGTGAGGAGAATGAGCCTCACCCTCGTGGGTCTCCCCACCAGCCTGTGAAGTAGGTACTGCTGATGTCCCTCCTCTGTTAGAGACCAGGAAGTTGGGGACCGGGCACGAGGGGGAGGAGACACTTGCCTTTGCTCCTCCTCCGGAAGGATGACCACTCGATGTGGAACACGTTCCTGTGCTTGGGGAGCACAGCCTCTGAGCTTTCCTTGGCCTTTGGGCTCTCTGCAGGTGGCTGCTCCTCACCGCCACCTAGCCAGGGCAAAAGGAGACAGGTCAGTGTCCCACCTGGTCCGCACCTGTGAGAGCCAAGCAGAGAGCTGGGAAAAATCACAGCCAGAAGCTGGAAAGGAGAGAGCAGCGAGGTCTGAAGCTGGAGCAGTAATTGCATCAGTCTCTGTATCACATCCCCCATCAAGACGTCCACTTTCTCTCTGCACAGTAACCTATGTTTTATATCTATGTCAAGAGATGAATGAGCCAACCAGCCTTATTTCTCCAGCAAGAAGCCTCTCTAAGACCCACTTAACTGCACTGAACTGGCATGAACAGGTGGACCGCGGGCTGATGCCCACTCACTGCTCTTCAGCCAGGGCCTTGGACTCCATCTGTGGCTTGGAGGTCCAAAGCTGGATGCATATTCGAATCACCTGAGTGCTTTTTAAAAAATGCCCGAGCCCTACTCCAGACCAGCTTAAGAAATTAAAGTTTTTAAATGTCTGTGGTGTTTAAAAGATGACTAAAGTGCAGTTTGGGCTGAGAACTACTGTCATAGGTTCCTGCTACTCGAAGTGTGGTCTCTGGACAGGCAGAAGCAACACCATCTGGGAGCGTGTTGGAAATGCAGAATCTCAAGCCTTACCCCAGACTGGAGGAATCAGAATCTGTATTTCCACACGATCCCCCAGGTGATTTCTGAGCATATTAAAGTTTGACAAATACAAGTCTGTGGGGAGAGGCAGAAGCAACACCATCTGGGAGCGTGTTGGAAATGCAGAATCTCAAGCCTTACCCCAGACTGGAGGAATCAGAATCTGTATTTCTACACGATCCCCCAGGTGATTTCTGAGCATATTAAAGTTTGACAAATACAAGTCTGTGGGGAGCTAAGTGTTCTGAATCTGTGATCAGCTACAAGAAATTCACTGTTGTATTTACTGTCTTAAATTTTCACACATTGAGGTGGAGAGCACTCCTACCACTAAGGATGGTGTTCCTCAGTGTGTGGTCTGAGAACTGACAGTATCGAATCACCTCATTGTCTTGTTAAAGTGCATGCTCCTAGGCCCACCCCAGATCTATTACTTGGAGTATCTGCTGATCCCTGGGGGATGCAGCTTTACTGTGCTCTGCTTGGGGTTCCAGTACACCCCAGAGTTAGATGGTCTAGTAGCTTCTTGGAATAGTGGAAAACATTTGGACTGTTACATTTGCTCACTTCCTAAGTTAACTCACTTGGTCCTTTCAAATTGTACCTTGAAATTGATAGGACAGGCATTGTTATCACCAAAAGGCGGAAAATTGTGGCTCAGAATGATTTCTGTAGTATCCTATGGTGAGCCAGGTGACTCTCAGCTCCCAATCCTTTTCTCTGCATTTTTGCTATGCAGAGTCTTGTTCCTGGACCAGCTTCATGGATGTCACAAGGGAGCTTGCTAGGAACACAGAATCTCAGGCCCCACACCCCAGACCTACTGAATTGGAATCTGCTTTTAACAAGATCCCCAGCCGATTTGTGTTCATTAAAGCTCAAAAGCACTGGTCTAGAGCACACTGCTCATGTAGAAATAACTTTAGCAAAGCTCAGAATACAGCAGGGCCAACAAGCATAGGCGCTGCGGGGCATGCATGAGCAAGGAAAGAGGTCCTGTCTGCACTTTCAGATTGAAAAGTGACATGCATGACCATGTCCCTTCCCTCCGGCTCAGCATGGAGAAGTAGCTACTGTTCCAGCACCCTGACCATGGGGCAGCATTGAGCTGTAACTCCCAGGGCTGGGAAGTGCCCCTTGACTCTGCACTTCAGAGACACCTGGAATGTCCGCTTGCCCTGGGACACCTTTGATGACAGGGTTCATGCAGGACTGAATGGGTATCCTTGCTCCACCTGACAAAGTGGGGCATTCTCCCATAGTGCCAATCCCCAGGGCACCTCTGTCAGCCCATTGCTTCTTTCCCCCCTATGCCAAGTGCTGGCCACCCCAGATGCCCCCTTAACAGAGCTATTATTTTGACATCAGCATCATAAACTCAGCACTGAATGGGAGCTTCAAGATCACCGTTCACCTCCTTTGTGCGAAGAAGTCAACTCACCCAAACCACACAGCTCATTAATCATGGCAAAGCCAGGGATTGCACCTGGTTCTCTTGACTGCCAATTCACTGTTCTTTCCATCCCGATGCTGTACTGTGCTCCACAGCACAGACCGTTTGATGCAAGAAACAAGCTTTCCTTTTAGTCTGGGACCTGGTCCTGTATATTGGAGGCCATGACAAATGCCATTTACTAACCTGTGTTATTTTTTATACCTACAGAAAGGGTGCATCAGTTTAACAAACCAAGGCAACATCTACCTGGAACTTTGGAACTACAAAAAGGAAAGTTGTTAATTGTTAAAATATCCCATATATTTTCACTGAGGGGTCAGTCACAGTAACACAGGTAGAGGGAGCTGGGTTTGCTGACAGAGGTCTGGGTGGGTAAGTGATTGCCAGGTGTGGCTGAGCCCGCCCGTTGGATAGAGG